TGCACCAATCTCCAGTATATTATGCTGAAACTTTCTCCAGTATTTTTTAATAACTTACAAATACTGGCTATTTTTCAATTACCTGTTCGAAAATTGGCTAATTTCACCGAAAAATCATGTGTACGCGATTTCAACTGTCCTCCTTTAATTTACTTTTTAAAAATTTAAAAAAGAAATTTGAGGGGAGGACAAAAGTATCTCTCAAATATGTATGGAGAGTGAAGGAAGAGAGCAATTTAAGGAAGAAATTTTGGATAGTCACGGGAATGTGTCATGTCAGGTTATAACAAATTAAACTTTTTGCAATGCGTATTTTAGGGAGCTGCCGTTCCAGATGTAGGAACCAGTTACTGACACGGCCTTTTTGATTATCGCCTTAGCGTATTCTGAATAAAGATCTCAAAATATTACTATTATTTATTCATTCTTCTTTTATCACTATATTGATCTCAATAATTCATCTGCATTTTGTAGAATCTAAATAATTCATCTACATTTTGTAGAAAGGGAGGGATAGGAGAAATGGAGAGGACGGAGAAGAGAAAGAGAGGAAAAGAAACATGGGATCACGAGAAGAAAGAGATGAAGAAGAGGCAAGCGAATAATGATGATAATGACGTTGGAATTAGTTACAAATTGGAGAACATGATGAATAGTAACGACCCTGGAGGCCAGAAGAATATTATGGAAACAACATATGATGACAATGAAAAAGGAGAAATTGGAGTTTTCGACTTTCCATGGCTTAAAAAAGGCGAAGATGTTAATTTCAGAGCAGAAATTGATGAATTATGCTTAGATAGTACATTCGCCACGGCTTGTTGCTGCTCCACCTCATATGATTACGACGATATTGAAACTCCATCGATTTTTCCCACAACTTGCAGCTGCAGCAGCAATAATATCGCCACTACTACTACATCCAATTCCTGCAGTCATGATTTATACGATAATATTAAGGCATTCGACCTGGACCTTGACCTCGATCTCGATCTAATTGATCAATTTTTCGTAGAGAATCTCTCGACCACAGGTACTGCTGACCAGTCATCTCATGATGATCAGCTGAAAATGAATAAAATTGAAGACGAGCTATTGAAATTCCAAGTGGATGATCCCAAAGATGGAACGTAATTGGAGTTTGGTGGATGATCAGTATTATATTACTCCCATCACAAACACTGTTATTATTGGCAAAGACTTGAAGTATTTCAAGATTTTATCACACAGATTACTAATTGTGCCTTTCTTCATCTTAATCATGGGCGAGTAGCGTCTCTTAAGAGTTGTTAGTGGTATTCATTGAATAAGTTTTTTCGACTTGGTTGGGCTAAAAGGGATTCAAGTTTCAAGAATTTCAAATGGGTTTAATGACTGATTGAGATTTCTTCATCTTTATCATGGGCAAGTAGTATCTCTTAAAAACGGTTAGCGGTATTCATTGAATAAGTTTTTTCTGCTTGATTGGGCTAAAAGGGGTTCAAGTTTCAAGAATTTCAAATGAGTATAATGACTGGTTGCGATTTTTTTATCTTTAACACGATGTCTCAGGTTTGATCCTCGGGAACGGAAAACTTATTTGATAAGGAGCATTTTACCTCTTATTAGGTCTATTTGGTACGAATCCGAGTTAATCGGCCAATATGTTGTGGATATCGGATGGTTAAACAAAAAAAAGAAAAAAAGAAGGCCACACATCTATTTTTGCACTCACGATTAAGCTAAACGCGTATTAAACGTAGAAGATAGAATGAATCGCGTCCATGATGCATTTCTTAGAAGTGTAAGTAAAATTTGTTTAAAGTACTTGGGATTTGAGGAGGCTTGTTATGGCTATTAGTACAATTATTACTATTACAATAAAACAATAAAAATCATTAGCTATAATGACTAATGAGTGTGCAATTAAATATGATAACTGAGAAACATTCGAAATCCTAGTATTTTAAAAGGCTTTTCTGGGACTTTTTCGGGTCTCGGCTCTCGGCTCTGGGAAGGGCACTTGAAAAATGCTTAAGCTCATGTACGAGGCTTACTTATGTGAGGCTTACGCGCAAACGCCCGACTTCGCCCCCTAATCACGTATAGCATTAGCCGCGTGGGGATGTGCCGAATTTCCTAATTAGGATCTTAGGTAAAATGTGTAGTTTGATAATATTTTTAACGATTTTTAAAATTGTTTAAAAGTTAAGACGTTATAGTGATTTGTATCTCATAATAACTTTAATATTATTGCATTATTTATACCTTTTTATAAGATATTACATTATTTATACCTTAAAAACATGCTAAATATTTTATTTTCCATGAGTTTATTTAGTTTATTTAATTTTGTGAACTTTTAATGTACTTTTTATATGTATTTGTATTATTATGCTATTTTATTAATTTATAAATAAAAAAAATTAAAGATCCTTGGGGTTTACGACCATGTCTCGAGGTTTATACCTCGCTCTGTATAAGTAAAATGTCCCCTCACGCCCTCGCGTTTTAATACACTAATTTTTACTAACAGGTTTTATCACTAATGTTCAACCCAAAGTTTATGAAGTATCATAAAGTACTACTTTCCTCATGTATGTTATACTATTGTGAAAACACTCCAAATACATTACAATTATGCTCTCCTTGTAAATTAAGTAGTCTACCTATTGCAATTACCAAGGGTCATCAATTTTAACTTACTTTTCGAGTGAAATTGAAAATGTTTCATTTTAGTTATGGAATAAGTTTAAATATTCCGATAACTTTTTATCAGGTTCATTTAAATTTCTTGAACGTCTCCTTGTTTTAATCTACCAACTTCTGCCGAAACAATGAAGAGTCGAAATCTTAAATCAAAATATTGTGTATGGATGATATGAACGGGCTAAACAAAAATTCTCATATTTTTCACTTTCTTGTCACAAAAAAATAATTTTTTGTGGATGTCTTCTTTATTAAGCAAATTTTGGTTCCCCAGTATTTTGGATTTGGAATATGATTGCGGTGCTTTATAGAGGTATGTCCCTCGTCTCTAACTTAAGTATTAGGCTAACATTATTGTTGGGTTGCTTGAATAAAAAGAATTCTACTCCATATAAATTTCAGCATAAATCAAGATCTTGTTCGGTTGCAATTTTACTTTTCTCCTAAATAACATCTCCATAAGTTATGCGAGAGTATATATAGTACTTTTTAAAAAGGGAAACTATCAGCTGTATCCATTTATAAGTAGCTCATTACAAAAATTAGCCAATACATAAAATATTACTAATATTAGCCAATTAGCTATTTGTACCAAAAAAAAAATTCAAATTTTTGCTTTCTTTTGAGTGGGTGTTATTAGAATAGATTGGGTACATCTTAAAGAGCTTGAATCTCAGTTTTGGGATGATTTGGTGAAGTTTTGAGGTGGTTTGAATTGAAAATTCGAAATAAAAACTGAACATGAAAAAAATAGTGCGTATCACACTATATATCATTTGTGTATCACTTATGTATCAATTGTGCATCATATGTATATCCATGTATATCTGTGTGTGAGATACATGTTTGATACATGTGTCGCAGAAAAAAAAAATTAACTCGATTTAATTACGAATTTTGATACAAAACCAATCCAAATCACCTCCAATCTTCCTCAAATTTTGTATATTGACTTATCTAGATGTTTTCAATGAATTTCAACTATACCCATTGAAAAAGTTCCTTTTTTGCTTAGATTTTTGGAATATTGTATATTTTTTTTTGTATTTTATCGCCTTATTTTCTACCTTATCCATGAAATTTCCTTTCCTTCTTGCATCTAATGTTGCTAATCACGCTTAAAAATATGAAAGGTGATTTTTGCATGTGATTCTTTGAGAGAAAGAACCTTATTTATTTGATTTTTCAATTTTTATATGTACTTGGCTAGTTTTGGTAAGTCTATGACTATTGGCTAGAGGTTGATAAGTTGAGATTTATTTGGGACATGTGTGTAAGTTTCCCTTTTAAAAAATGTGTATTTTGTTTAAAAACTAAACGTATATTCGAAAATATCCATTGTATACTAGTCGTAATATATCAAACTAAATATCTAAAAATTCAAGTATCACTAATCCTTGTATTATAGTTTATGTATTATTAATCCATGCATAAATTTGTCTTTACACTAAACAAACCTAAGTGCACAAGAGACTTTTGGGTATTTCCCTTGACTACATAGGTAATTCGAAATCTCGAATAATATGTGTGGTTACAACAATATTAATAAACTCAATGTAATTTTATTAGTGGGGTCTCGAAGAATAATATGTATGCAAACTCAATGAACTATTTTTTATAGACCATTAGCTCAAGAAACAAAAAATAATAGCAACAAATAATAACAACAGCAAAATAATATAAAAAATGTAGTAAAAAGAACAAATAAACAATATGTGGGGCTGTTGGAAAGAAATTCTTCCTACTTATTTTTTTCTAGAACACAAATATAAAATCATGAAATGGCCAAGGTGTCAAAAAAAGATAAGGGTACGAGTATAACGCTGTGCGGACGGTGACAGCTTTGTTCAAAATTCATATGCATCACAGAAACCACTCCACTTTCAAATTTAGCAAATATAGTACTACTTCACTCTTAATTCTTAAATTAATTGTTTTCAACGACATCCTCTCTTTCAATTTAAGTGACATATTTTTTAAATTTTTCTTATAAGCTTTTATAAGTAATTTAATTTTAAATTTTTATTTTAGATGATAGCCTTGGCCTAATTAGTAAAATTGCTGCCATATGGCCAGAAAATTACGGATTCGAGCCGTAAAAACACCTCTTGTAAAAATGTAAGGTAAGACTGCATATAAGACCCTTGGTCCGACCCTTTTCCAGACTCTGCACATTTTAGTGCGTCGGCTGCCCTTTTTTAAAACTTTGTTTTTAATAATTATACTAATTTATACCAATCAAACAATCATATTAGTAATTCGGAAGAGGAAGTAATAAAAAGATATTTAATTTTCATTTATTTCCTTGGGGGTACTACTATCATTGCTCCTGGATCACATCATTGCGCTCACCGACGCCCTTCCTCTTCTCTCTCTCTCTCTCTCTCTCTCTCTCTCTCTCTCTCTCTCTTACAGCCACCAATCCATTGCCAAATTCTGGTTTTTGAAGGTTAATTTAATGGTACTCCTCTTCTCTTTAATTTCCACCATTTTTAGTGCTATTTTACAAATCACCAATTTGGTTTACTTACAGTACTGGAGCAGTATGGTACTTTGAGTATACATTCTACGGAAATCCATACAGATTTTTTAGTGAAATTGAGTTTGCTTTTCATGTAATGTTCCTTGATTTACCTTCATTTTTTGTCTTAATTTTCTTTGTACGTTTTTGTTTAGGTTCAGTTGAGTATTGATATCTGTGCTGAATGAGATCTGAAGTTTTGCTGCTAAGCTGAGAAGGAATTAAGGGGTGTTTGCACTGTAGAGATGAAGATGAAATTTAGAAAGCCAGTGTTGTTCTTATTGCTAGTGACCGTTTTGGCCCCTATTGTTCTCTACACTGACACTCTTGCCTCTTATTTTACTCCTCCTTCATGTAAGCTCCCTTAATTTTTCTATAAAATGGCTGTTTTTGTTTTTTAAATTTTAAATTCAAGGATATTGTTTGATGTAATGGGATTCTGTGATTGTTTATGCAGCAAGAACTGAGTTCATTGAAGATCTCTCTACCTTCGTAAGTCCAATTTGTGTTTTATCCACTTCATTGTTTTGTGCTTTTGATATCTTTCTTAAAAACATAAGGATTTAAGTTATATGCGCTGACAATGTATAGATTTTTCTAGTTATTGTTTCGGGAATTTTAACCTGTGATAGCAAGTTGTTGACGAAGTAAGTTAATATCATTGATAGAGCATCGGAAAGATGCAAAATTACAAAAAAAAAAAAAAAATTATTAACATGTTAGTTCCAGTACAAGAGTGTCTATACTAGGATTAGGGAGCTAACGAAGTCCAAAAAGTCGCCAACAATATTTACAGGGGTAAGAAAATTCCAACTGAGCAAACTAATTAAGCGTCTAACCTGTGATATCAAGTTAGTTACCATTTTTTGCCAGATTTCTAGCACCTATTAAGTGACCTGATTGTGTAAATATCGAATATTTTCATTACAATTTCTGATTCCATGATGCAGACACTTGGTGGTGACGTCCGGCCTCTAAATTTGCTGCCTCAGGTATCAATTGTAATTCTAATTGAGGATTTCTCGTTCCTCTTTGATTGACCAATACGATTGTCAACTTTCCATGTGTACTAATACTGGTAGGAGTCATCCACATTCCTCAAAGAACCACCGGGCAACGTATATTCAGAAAATTCAAGCCTTTCCCTTTCCAATACCTCAGACACTTTAAGCAGCGACGATGCTCGTAAAGCAAGACAACTAACTGAAGGTTTCTGTTCATTCATGTCTCTCTGTATTTTGAAGTTTGAACTTAGAGGTTTAGCATGAAGTCAACTTGATCAGGTTTCACGTTGCTTCCATAGTTTTTGAATTGATTATCTAAAATATATGATCTTCATTTAGCAGAATCAATGAAACACCAAGCTGCTACTGGAAACAGCAACGATGGAATAGAAGTGGCTATGAATGGAAATCGCATAAGTCAGGTTACTGATAGCTTGCATGAACCACATCAAATGGACAAAACTTCACTGGAACTTGTATCAGCTGGGAGAAGTGAAAGCAGAGCAACAGACACCAGCTCAAAGAAGAAGACAAGTCCAACAGATTCTAGCCACACCTCGGATACCACATCTGCGAAAATGGTAATTACCTTATATATTTTCTGCTTCTGCGACTATCTGAATTGCCAATGTGCAGCTATTTGAATGTTTTGTAGTATTTTCTGTTCTTTGTTTCAAACATTCATATGTTGACACTGTGACATCATAATAGTTCTCTTTGCTGTCCTTATAAAAAAAATTGTCTCTTTATTGTCTGAACCTAGATTTGATCTATATGGTGCACTTTGTCTTAGAATCTTTTTTTGTTCTTGGTCTTCTGCATATAGCATAAGTAAAATTAAGGCAAATTATATGCCGTGCAAATTTTGTAAGTTTATACTCCGTAAGAAGAATGGCGGTGAAATTAGACGGGAATTGGGATTGCTGTGCTTAAGCATTGATAGAAGAAGATGCAAGCATGCAACACATTGAACTTAAATTGGATGGTCCATATAAAAGAATTAAAATAAGATTGCTGAAATGGAGGAGTCCGAGTGGAGTGTTATGCAATAGAAAGCATCTTAACAAAGTGAACACCAAGTTGTATTGAACAAGTGTGATACCAACAAAATTATGTGGCAGTGAAGTTGGGCTGCTCTAGCCTAATATGCTGCAGAAGATGAATGTCGTAAAAATGCAAATGTTAAGACATATGTGCTGTCATACAAGATTGAATAATATTCGAAATGATCACATCCGATTTATGGTGCAAATAGAGAATAAAATGAGACAAGATTGTCTTTGATGATATCCTACTAGACTTCATGTGCACCAGCATAGGTGTGAAAATATGAAATGTGATTGAAGGGGACGAGGTAAACTTAAAATGACATACGTGAAAGAAAGTTTCTCCGAAAGTTCTAAGATCTCTTGGTCAATGCAGATTTGACTAAGAACAGAACAACAAAGTGAAAGGAAAGGATCCATGTAGCCAATACCAAATTTGTTGGATTTAGAAGATGTTATTATACTTACATTAAGTTCGGTGTTTGTCGCTGTGTTGCTAAAGGCGTAAAGCGTACAGGTTTATGGGGCTTTTTGCAGAAAGCGCAATCAATGCATTAGATGTAATAAAGAAAGGCACAATGAAGAAAAAATATGTGCGTAACCTAAGGAAAAAACTATAGAAAAACATTTTTAACTGCAATTAAGTGAAATATATTGAACGGAAAACATGTATTTTTAAATTCAAAAACCAATTTAACTTTTGAGTTAAATGCAAAATACAGTATTAAGTTTCTACTTCAGGTTAAGTGACTTTAAAAAAAAATTAAATTCCTAAACCCTTTTCCCTAGTAAGTAATAAATTCATTCATAACATCTCCAAAAAGATTAACATATCTATTTTGCCTGTTGTGTTTATTGTTCGTTGTCTCTCTTTTCAAGATATAGCCAATGGATGATGAGACACATGTCTTAGCGCTTTGATACCAGCACTGTAGGGCCACCTGAGCATGGCGAAGCGCCCAGTTTGAGCTACACCTAGATTCAGGGATTAAGCATGCTTGTTTATTGGATGTTTTTATTCTGATTAGAGACCTGTATGTCCCTGTGGGATATGTGTGGAATTTGGATAATTTCCAGTTTTATATAATTAATAATTTGCCAGACAAAATTGTTTAGTGGTGGAAAGAATGCATTTAAATACAAAAGATACGATTACGACACAGAAGATTCATATATAGCTGATCCCTACTAATTTAATGTATGATCGTGTGACAAGGGACAATGTGCTATATTCTATCAAAAATAATACTATGATTTTGGCGGATTGCACATTATTAGTAAATATGCAATAATTGTCTCGGGATTCCTAGATGATAAGTGACCCTTATACATGAGCTGAACTTGCTTATGTTTGGGTTGGTTTCTAGGAAATAAGGCAGGATCAACGTACTGTTCAAACCAGTGGTAGAGTTGTATCTGGAGAGACAGCAAGGGGCAAAGGTGAAGAGCAGAATGCACAAGTGGTTCCTCCTGATGCTCGTGTTCGCCAGCTTAAAGATCAGCTCATTAGGGGGAAGGTCTACCTTTCACTCTCAGCAACACGAAACAACCCCCACTTCATTAGAGAACTTCGCTTGCGGATTAAAGAAGTACAACGAGCACTTGGTGAGGCCAGTAAGGATTCCGAGCTGCCAAGGAAGTAAGTCTTCTTTTAGACGACTAAGTTCATCTTCTGTTTTCAAAATGGCTTTCAGGTGGTCCTGACTCCTGATTCTCCAGTGATTTTGCCATTTCACTGTATAATTAATGTCTACAAGCTTGGTCCATGTTATTGATTTATCTTCCAATACAAATGTGATTTCTTTATATAGTGCCTATGAGAAGTTGAAGGCGATGGAGCAAACATTGGCCAAAGGGAAGCAAATTCAAGATGATTGTGCTACTATAGTAAAGAAGCTTCGTGCTATGCTTCACTCAGCAGAAGAGCAGCTTCGTGTCCACAAAAAGCAAACATTGTACTTAACGCACTTAACTGCTAAGACACTCCCTAAGGGTCTGCATTGTCTTCCCTTGCGCCTTTCAACAGAGTATTTCAAGTTAAATTCTTCCCAACAGCAATTTCCAGATCAAGAGAATTTAGAAGATCCCAAGCTGTATCACTATGCACTCTTCTCGGACAACATTTTAGCAGCTGCGGTCGTCATAAACTCAACTGTTTCCCATGCAAAGGTAAATGATCTATTGTCTGAAACTTACATGTATATTGAGATTGCAGCTGGCTCAGAACAATATAATTCACTTTATCTTTTCCAATTCTTTTCTTCTATGATTATGGAGAAAATATGCCCATCTGCCTGTTTGAGTTTACAATAACTCAACCTTTATGTGTCTCTTCAGGGACATCCAATAAATTGGAAATAAACCTTTATGTATAACTTTTTCTGCATGTGGTGGCAGGATCCTTCAAAGCACGTTTTCCATATAGTAACAGACAGGCTTAATTATGCTGCAATGAGAATGTGGTTTTTAGCAAATCCACCACAGCATGCTACAGTAGACGTCCAAAATGTTGAGGAATTCACCTGGCTAAATTCAAGTTACAGTCCAGTTCTGAAGCAATTGGCTTCTCAGTCCATGATAGATTATTACTTCAGGAGTCGTGCTGATTCTGATCCGAATGTTAAGTTTAGGAATCCAAAGTACCTTTCAATCATGAATCATTTACGTTTTTACTTGCCGGAGATATTCCCAAAGCTGGATAAAGTTCTCTTCTTGGATGATGATATTGTTGTGCAAAAGGATCTTAGTGGCCTATGGTCTCTTGATCTTAAGGGTAAGGTGATTGGTGTGGTTGAGACTTGTGGAGAAAGCTTTCATCGGTTCGACCGCTACCTCAACTTCTCAAATCCTTTGATCTCCAAACATTTTGATCCCCGTGCTTGTGGTTGGGCATTTGGAATGAACATCTTTGATCTAATTGAGTGGAGGCGGCAGAACATCACAGAGGTGTACCACTCATGGCAAAACCTGGTATGAGATAAATTCTTCCCCGTTGTTTATGTCTGGATTTGTATGTTAAATTAGCATCATTTTGTATTTATATAATTTCACGTGCTCTGCTTGGTCATAATGAAACCCTGGAGCAACACCGTCATTATTTTGTTAAGTATCAAATCATTTTCTCCCTCAGGGCAGTTTCTCTTTCCCAGTAAATAGATCACATTCACATTTGAGGCCTTAACCCCCCCCCCCCCCCCTCTCCTCAACCAACCATAGGAAGGACCATGTTCAATCACATTCAAGATATTTTTGTTTGAGATGATGTCTGAGCCATTAATTGGTTTGGTTATACGGGGATGTAATAAGTTAGAATAAAATGGGTAATGTGTAAAAGTTGAGGACAATTGAGTAAATTCTTTGGCATCTGCCAATCCAATAGACTAATATAAAACTGGGCAGGTCATAGCTCAGTCTAGATTAGGAAGTGAAATTTTGGCCTAACTTCTATAGGATTAAGAATTGCCATGTGTCCTGTCCTATCATGTTGCTCCAATGTTCCTCCAATTAGATTAGGTAGTGATGTTGTAGCCTCACTAATTTCCGGATGATTAAATAGACATGACTTGTCATGTTTATCTGGTTTTCTTCCTAAAGGTGTCAACGTATACACCAGCTTTTTTCATGCATAATAATGTTGTTAAAATTAGTCGTGAAATTTAATGAACCTTTCTCTGCACAGAATCATGATAGACAACTTTGGAAGTTGGGGACCCTACCACCTGGTTTGATAACCTTTTGGAAGCGTACATTTGCCCTTGACCGATCGTGGCATGTCCTTGGGCTTGGCTACAATCCAAATGTTAGCCAGAAGGACATTCAACGAGCAGCAGTCATACATTACAATGGAAACTTGAAACCATGGCTTGAGATAAGCATACCCAAGTTCCGAGACTACTGGTCAAAATTTGTTGACTATGATCAGGAATTTTTGCGAGAGTGTAATATCAATAAATTGGCTGGTACATGAAGTGTTTCCTGCATATATTTCTCTTAATTCATAAATACAGTGAGCATTTGTTTAGTTTACAGGTCTGTTCTTCCTTAATAATTTAATGATTTTTGTTCTTGTTCTTTAAGTCACAAGTTATTTAGGTATATATATGTGAATGGAGTATTAGAGTGAGCATTCTGTATTACATTTATTCTTGACATCCATTGTTGGATGACAGCTTCAATTCAAATTTGTTGTAAATGATTAACCGTAGCTCTCACTTTGAATTTCTCTGTTCATTTTTGGGTTGTTATATATTAATGGCATGCCGTTTTCGAGGGCTATGTATTTAACATTGCACAGTTTATCTCACTAATATCTTCTATGGTTGGTCTTTTTTTATTCGAGTAAAAAGCATTGCAGGTATGTTTTTTTTTCTTGTTTTTTTACTAAGCGGGAAAAAATGTCTATCTAGTAGCATAACAATGTGGTAAAGGAAAGACTGTTCATTGCAGCATAAAATGTTTTTTTCACTGATCTGCGTCTTACAACCTGTTCAACTGTGCGAAGATTGAAGTGCTTGGTTTGTTGTATTTACCGTGGTAGACAGTTCAGGTAAGTAGTAGAGCTAAGACAGATATTACATTCCGCGCCTCTGCTGTTTTTTTTATCATCAGAGTATGTTATCGTGGTTAGTATAGAAAGGCCACCTTCTCATGAATCTGACAACTAATCAGATCTTAACTTCCCAATTTTCATATGCTTGTGATTTGAGAACTTGATTTATCCTCTCTGCCCCAAAATATTCCAATATAGCAACCTCTTCTATTTTTTAAACTGGGAGATTTATGTTACAAAACATATACATAGGGGTCGTTTGGTTGGGAAACAAGTTATGCCATGATTAATTATCCCGGGATTAGTTACCCTCCCATCGGGATAGAAGAAACACTACAATTCTGGGATAACTAATTTCGGGATTAGTTATTCCAACCAAAAGTGGGATAAACTTATCTCAATATTAATTCCAGGATTAATTATCCCTTATCCCTCGTACCAAACGAGCCCTAAAGGTTAAAAGGTCTAGTTATGGGGCAGTACTAAAAGTTTATATGGGGCAGTACTAAAAGTTTATAATGCGATACTAGTTTCATTACAAAAATATCACTATAAAGTTGGCAAATGTAATATCTCAAACCACAAGAAAACGATGTGTCACAAAGGTAAACCTAGAGAAATGTCTATCAAATTATTCTTAATTGTTAGATACACTTGCAGTGAAAGCATTTCATTCAAATCTCTGGCAACTTCCCACTCGTATGTTTCAATTTTGAATGAAATAAAGCCAACACCCAATACTCCAATGTCTTATAATATTATAAGGTTATATACCTTTTCAATTAGTTGGAATATGACAAATGGACCATATTTATTTCTTTTATTGTAAGAACTTTTTTCCTTTTTTTTTTTGGTGGCTAAAGTGAAATGTAGTGAGACTAGTTTTCCAGATGTATTTTATAAAATTTTGAATACGGGCCTTTTATTTTTTTTTTTTATCGTGTTGTTGTTCCTACTTGTTGCCATTGCTTTTTTTTCATCCTTTTTCCGGCCGAGAATTTATCAGAAACACCCTCTCTGCCCTTTTAGGGTAGGAGTAAGGCTGCATACATCTTACCCTCCTCGGATACTACTTGTGGGATATCACTGGATTTGTTGTTGTTGTTGTCGTCGTCGTCGTCTTTTATTTTGTTTTTTATTTTTGGTGGCAAAAGTGAGTTATAAAGTTAAAGTGAAATAATCCCAGACATGCCATGGGCCAGTTTTGTTCCCTATTTTTGTCACATGTAAAAGCTTTAAACATGATAAGACAACCAAAAAAGTTTCAATCATCTTGATACTGTGCTACAGTCAATAGTAGGATTGTTTTCTTCACGGTAAATATTTGCTCACACTCGGAATTTATATCAAATCAAGAAATTTTATATTAGGTAGCTACATATTTTACTATTTTATTCCTATTTTTTTTTTTTTTGATAATTCTTGAAATTCTCTTTCCCAAATAAGACTCCTATATCCCTCTTCATTTCACTTCTGTCATTCATCTTTTTTTTTTTTTTTTTGTAAAAAAAATATTTTTAAATTTATACTTTTATAAATAGCTGTAAGGGTATGTCAATCATTTTATTTTAAAAAATATATATGAACACTTATTTACCAAAGACACAGTAAGTCAAACATTAAAACTGGCTACATAAGTGATGACCAATTCATAAGACAATAATTTCAAATTCAAACTTCAAATTCAAAGTCGTGATTGTGTCTGTTCCCTTTTCTTTTCGTTTTAATCAGTCTTTTTCGTTTTCTTAACTATCCAGCCTTTGCGCCTATTTTATTTTTGACTTTCTTTTTTGTACTTCCTTTGGTCCTTTCAATGTACCATTTGCTTAAATTTGTTTAAATATTTGTTTATGTGACCACTCAGGCTGCTGGCCAAATTGTTTGGACAATGGTCCCTCTAGAACTTAAAGAAGGAAAATATATATATCAAATTATTAGAATGAGTTTAATTTATAATAAAGAACTTTTACACTATCATTGTTATGAAATAATAAAAAAAGAAGAAGAATATTGCAGAGAAAAGTAGAAGGAGAGAATTCTTATTGATTTGGGATGAATTACAATAGAATAGAGCCCTCTATTTATAGGGAGATGGTGGCTTAGCCACCAAGCAATGAACTCTAGAATCTCTCTAAATATAGACATTCACCATAAATATAATTGTATTTATAACACTCCCCCTTGAATGTCTATTCAACAGATAATGTGCCTCGTTAAAACCTTAACTAAAATAAAACCCAATGGGAAAAAAATTCTAGAAAAGGAAAAAGAGTACACATATCTGATAATACGCCTTTTGGTTGTCTCGTTAAAAACCTTGCAAGGAAAACCCAGTAGGACAAAACCTTGTAAGGGAAAAAGAGTACAACCCGTATTAACTCCCCCTGATGAGAGCATCAATTCACATCCTTGAGCATTTGCATTCTAATCTTGTGCACCATCTTCAAAAGATCTTTGGTTGAGATTTGATGAACAAATCAGGCATATTAAATTGAATGAATATATTGCACCTTGAAATCATCATTCTTGATAGAGATGAATTGTCTTCATATGATGTTGTTGGAATCGTCAGTTCAATATCTTCACATAGAGGTGAAAACTCTTGCTATCATATTATCATGCATATAGTTATAGCAAGATACATTTGTGCACAAATTGCACTGAGGATGTAATACTTCATGACCATGAATTCTATATGCTTTAAGCAATTTAAATCCTTCACGGATTGTTAAGTCATATAAGCCATATAATAGACTTTAGATGCATATCAAGTTTTCATGTCATGCTAGACATATAAGATATCGAAAACTGATTGCACATACCATTGACTTTATACTTTCAAGTGTTTGAACTACATGTTCAAAACTACATGTCTTTCATATGAAACCAATTCTATTCGAATTGTTTCTTCAGACTTAAGATCCTCATATATATATTTAGCGCTATCATAGATGTCGTCGACAAACATTTTATATCAGTTTCAATATTTTTTCATAAAGACATAACATAGAGATCTCTTCATTCATATTTTCAGGTACCTGAATCTCTCTTGAGATTTTATGAAGTGTTATGTCATGTGATCTTCTAGATCACTTGCCTTCCTTTATTATGATCATTTTGATCATTTGCTCATCTTCTTTATCAAGAAGTTTATTTGAAACCGATTTGTCTATATGCTTTAAGCGTACCATAGACTTTGTCCTTCTAGGACTTAATAGGAGCATTTGCAATGAGAATATAGTTACTTTCTTTGGGTCAGCAAATGCGTCTGGCATGCTTTGCAATATATTGCAAATGAATTATCCTTTTATGAACTTCAAGTTCATATTATCTTATTCGAGGATCTAGATGTACAAATGATAATTCATTCCACGTAACTTTTTCTCAACTGTTTATCATGTCTCCCCCTCATGTTAGAAAAACTAACTTGTTTCCTCAACTTTGAGAATCCATCTTTGTACGTTATGGTGTTAATCAAAATATACACCGCACATCAATAATAATAAGATGGAATTATTTGGTTCCTGACCATGAACCACTTGTGAGGGGAGAAATTAATATACTTTCGTATATAACGTATATCAAACTGATATATAAAACTTTGTTCTCATAAGCACTTGTTTAGCTATTAAGTAGAGCACTTAATAAATCATTTTGCTAAACCAACTGTGATGTAAACCAACTTATCAAGATGAACTTCTTGAATAGAAAATCTGGAATATGCTCTAAATTAAATTATTGAGCAAGTTACCTCGCAAACACCATGTTGCGGGTTAATAATAATCGCACATGTAACCATCTCATAGATGCATCTTATGTGGTATACATGGCAGGTGAATGGGCCCATATTCACCTTTGATATTTCCAGCATTCATGGGATTCAATCCCAATTTTAGTTGATCTATTAATTAATGAGAACAAGCAATATAAGAGAATTCGTAAAGAACTTTCTAGTTCTTTAATATTTACCCATGTGAATTCTCTATTATTTTTGCACATCGTACATGAATTAACATGGTAAACCAAGTATGCCAACTGGATAAATTATCAGTATTGATAAACTTCAGGTTTACACCATGATGTGTGCAATTATGAATAAACTCCAAGTTTATTATGATATGGGTTTTTATATCAATAAATATCCACTTCATTGTGCTATTCTTTTGTTTATGTAGTACAAATTGGAGAATAAAGCGGGTAGCTTTTCACATACATATTATCCCGCTACAAGTTGTAGTAATAGAAGATATTAAATCTTTCCTTTATTTATAGTCTCAATATAATCAACCGCTTTCGCGTATACTTTGGAAACTGAATAAGTTTCTTTGAGACTTACTACAACACAATATCTTATTGGTAATTAATTGTGTTTCTCCAAAAGAGTATAATTGGCTCTTGCAGAGTTCTCAATTAATTTTGTAGTACCACATATTCATCAACACCCATATGGTGAATATCTCTTTTAAAGAGAAAGTTATACCATTATGGTTATGGTCAAAATTATATGCAAGATCTGTTTCTTGCATTACCGTTGTCTTTTAACAATCACAATGCCAAAATATTTTGGCGTACAATAGGTACGTGACCAATGATCATTCATGCCATAATAATGACATTATTTTCTTATATCATCTCAAACCTCCTTCTAGAGGTGAGTGTGGTATATACCACTAGCACGCTCATATTCTTCCGAAAATGAATATGTATTCTTAAATCAGATGTTGTCACATTCACATCATG